CCCCAAAACCCCAAAACCCCAAAACCCCATTATGCTAATCCATCAAAATATTTAGATTTTTAGAAATATTGATGCTTATTTATTATTATTTAATTTAATGGAGCACCTAACTTCTGATTCAGTATAAAGACTCTGCGAAAATCCAGAATGCAGAAAACCAGCGACTCTGTAATGTCCTACATGCGTTAAATTAGGATTAGACCCCAGTTACTTCTGTGATCAAGAATGCTTCAAAGGTTTTTGGAATTTCCACAAGTTATTACATAAAAAGAAGGAGACAGTAAAAGATGATGGGTATAAATATTCAGGACCTCTTCGTCCATTTCCATATAGTTTCTCAGGACATAGAAAGGTGCCAGATCACATTAAAAAGCCAGAATATGCAAAGTCAGGTCTTCCTAAGCAAGCTTCTGATAAGTATGTTCCTGTTATAATGGATGAGGAGCTTGAGTAATTGAGAGATACTTGCAAGTTAGGTAGAGCTGCTTAAGATCTTGGGCATTAAGCTGTTGCTGTAGGTGTGACAACAGAGGAAATTGATAGAATTGTGCATGAATTTATAATTGATAATGATGCCTATCCATCACCTTTGAACTATCATGCTTTCCCTAGAAGTTGCTGTACTTCTATAAATGAAGTTATTTGCCACGGTATTCCTGATTCAAGACCTCTATAAGATGGTGACATCATAAATCTTGATATCAGTGTTTACAAAAACGGATTTCATGCAGATCTAAATGAGACTTATCTAGTAGGTAATTTCAGTGAGTCATCAAGGAAGCTTGTTGAAGCTACATATGAATCTTTGATGAAGGCTATAGATTATTGTAAACCAGGAAGCATGTATAGAGAATGTGGTAATGTAATCAGCAATCATGTTGAACCTTTGGGATATTCTGTAGTAAGAACATATTGCGGTCATGGTGTTGGATCAACATTCCATTAAGCTCCAAACATACCTCACTATGCTAAGAATAAAGCAGTAGGATTCATGAAGGTAAGTTAAATAAATTTAATTAATAAATATAGAAAGGGCATGTTTTTACAATAGAGCCTATGATAAATTAAGGTGTTTGGAAAGATATGACTTGGAATGATGGCTGGACTTCAACTACAGTCGACGGCTAAAGATCTGCTCAATTTGAACATACAATGGTAATTACAGATGATGGAGTTGAAGTGCTTACTGCAAGAAATGAGAATTCTCCACCCTTGGAATTCCAAATTAATATGGGATGAATAATTTATCAATATGCTAATTCATTAATTAATTACTCTTGATTTTCTTGATAAACTTTTAGATGGGGTTTTGGGGTTTTGGGGTTTTGGGGTTTTGGGGTTTTGGGG